CAGAGGCTGTTGCCATCCCACACAGCTGCTTTTGATAGAAAGACAGCAACATGGGGTGGGAGGGGGCTCCCTGGGAGTGGGACCAGGTGTATACTGGCTGCCAGCCCCTGGGGACTATTGAATAGCCGTGTAACCGCTAACATTTTATACACTAACATCCCTGTTTGTGCTGCTCATACACAAAATTGGTTGCCTTGGAAGATGCAGCCAGCAATATTGGTTGATTATCATGTAGTTATTTCATCTCTTCGGAGAGCTAAAGCAAAGGGTCTCGACTCTGACCTCGTTCATCAGTCCCACATGAACATATGCTCATTAGCGAGCTGGTGAGTGAGAATTCCTCTTCTCCCTAACACTGGTGATTCACTGCAGAGCACCACACTTGCACCTCGTGGGAGGTGTGTGTCTATGGAATGGTGGGAAAGCAGGTGCAATGCCTTGGGGGGAGGAGGAAGAGCTTATTTTTCCATTGTCCTTCTATGCTCACATAAGAGAATTGGTTAATTAACTCCCTTACCACAGATTGGAGTATCGCCTTCATCTCAGCTGTTGGAGCTGTACTCCAAACAGTCCTGGGATGCCTGCAAGCAGTCCAGCCTACTTCATGGTTCCCAGAGAGAGTGTCCCTGGGACTTGTTCTGTTGCTCTGCTTTGAATTTCCTCTAATTGTCATGATCTTTGGCCTGCTGATGTCCCTAGACATGTATGCAGCCTCCTTAGAGCTGCTTAGTGAGGATCTATCCCCTGACTTTGCCTGGGGATGGCATGGACCAGAGCTGAGGGCTGGCTGCCAGGCAGGGTTGCAGTTCCTGTCATGCTATGAGAGTGGAGACCCCCAGGGTTGCAGTTCCTGGTGTGCTCTGGGAGCGGAGGCTCTGGGGTTGAAAAGTATAGAACTCCTCTTTTAGTTTCTTGCTATTTCTCTTTTCAGCGTTGTCAACATTTATAGTCTTCTTCCAAATGATGTGATCCTGCACAAGGCTGTTGTGCAGACTGATTTTTTGAGGTCTGCTGATACTGGGTCCATGTGTCCTGTCCTCCTCCTTAGTTTTCTTCCATCCACAGTCACTGAGGCTTTGTCTAGACTACACCTCTCTGTTGACAGAGAGATGTAGATTAGGCACTTCAGAATTGCTAATGATGCAGGGATTTAAATATCCTGCACTTCATTAGCATAAACATGGCCGTCACTTTTTTTGAAACTGAGCTTTTTTGAAAAAAAAACTGCAGTCTAAACACGGATCTGTCAAAAATAAACCCTTTTTCTACAGATCCTGTATTCTTCAAAAAATGAGATTTACAGGATCTGTTGAAAAAGGGTTTATTTTCGACAGATCCGCATCTAGACTGCTGTTTTTTTTGAAAAAGCTCCGTTTAAAAAAAAAAAAAGTGGCAGCCATGTTTATGCTAATGAAGTTCGGGATATTTAAATCCCTGCTTCATTAGCAGTTTCGACGTGCATAAGCTACATCTCTCTGTCGACAGAGAGGTGTAGTCTAGACACAGCCTGAAAGAACCATACAACTGATATACCTCCCTGGTCTCTGCTGAATATCCTCATGTCAGTGTAGCTTTGACTCACAGCTTGTCTTTAATTGGAGCAATCCACATCAGGTCCCTTACCATCTCATTGCATTTCCTATCCTGGAGTTGCCAACCGTATGACCATGTCAACATCTTCCTTTCTGTGGTGTAGAGTGTACAGAATTCCTTTTTTGGGATTGTCTGAGTCCCTTTATTGAAGGGGATATCAGCAGAGAGGGGTTGCCCTTTCCCTGCTCTAATGCTGTTGATGACTTCTCTGCAGACATTGGGATCAGGTGAAGGACTTAGTCCTCAGGACGTTCGACCAGGATGCTGAAGATTTCAGGCTGGAGAATATTGTGGAGCTTGGCCTGGATCAACACGTGGAGAAAATTAATGAAATCTCTGCATCAGCCACCAAGGAGCTGTCTATTGAGCTGGTAGAGCTTATCGTCTGTCTTTCCCTCTTTCCTAGTTCCTTTCCCATGGTTTTGTGAGCAGATGTGGAAGGTCTCAGTCCAGAACTTAGCAGGACAGGTGTCCATATCACAAAACACAATCATATTTGGCACTGATTGCTTATTATCATTTGGAGTCAGGAGTCTAGCCCTGGAGTCCAGACTCCTAGTCACACTGCATTACCTATTAGCTATTTTCCTGCTCAGAGAAGAACCCAGCAGTCCCAGCTCCTTCACCTTCTCTCTAACCACTGATCTACCCTCCCATCTCTGGCCTAGGAATGGAACCTGGGGATCCTGACTCCCAGCCCTGCCTCGTTCTAACCCGCTACCTCCTCTCCCCTCTTGGAACCATGAATAGCCCCCAGGCTCAGTGAGGCCCTTAAACCTGAGATGGCCAACCTAGGCTAGCAAGTGAGCTGCATGAATGGCCCTCCTTCATCTCAGTGGACCGTAAGATTTCATAACCAAGATGATATCCCAGGATAGGGTAGTTTTGTTAACTGAGTTTGTGTACCTAGAATTTGCAGGGTGTGTCAATTGAACAAAGCAATGCTTTGATTGGATACAGAGAGGGAGCACATGATTCTAACAGTCACTGTTGTGTACAGTCACCATGTACCTCACTTTACATGCACTTGCTTTACATGTGTGTCACTTCAGTAATACTATGTGAATGGAATCTGGCAACCCTGCCTTTGGGCAACAGTAACCAAAATGTCTTCTAGGCCACACATAAAATGTTGATGTGACCCATGGGCCACAGTTTTTGCACCACTTCCTTAGACACACAGCCTCTCCTTCCGACCGTAGCGCCGCTCAGACACATTTCCCTGTGTATTTCATGCTGTCTATCCCTGTCTTTCTTCTAGGCTCTCCAAGTCATCGCCAAGACCTGGGATGTCACATTGCTAGATATTGTGCCATATAAGGACAAGGGGCACCATCGACTCAGGTCAGGTTTCCCAAGATCTTCCTTACATTGCTGACTGGAAAGATTTGGGGTGCAGGGTTCCTGGTAGAGAAGCAGCTGAGCATTCTAGGGTGTCTCCTGCAGAGTAGAATTGGGTTGTTAATGAAACACTATGGAAAGCAGAGGGGAAAGCTGTCTTATGTATGTGACAGTGTACAGTCACAGAAGACTCCTTGGGGTTGCTTCCCAGTGTGCTGACAAAATAACTGACATTCCCCGCCCCCCTCCCCCCCCGCTCTCTGGGGCTACTCAACAACCTGTCTTGCTGGGCCAGATTTCCCGGTTTCCCCCAGCCAAGACACAGAGCTGAGCTCACTGCCCTCCCGAAGAGCAGTGCAGACGATAAATCACTTCAGATTTGAGGAGAATGCAGTTTCAGGCACAGCAGCCAGGAAACCCACCCCCAAGTGGGATCAGAACCCCAAATAAATAATTCAAGCAAGCAAGCCCCCTTTAACAGTGAAAGGATGATGTACACACTGATTGGTCCCCCAGGTAACAATTATTTACACTCAGCTTGGTAGTAAATAAAAGTGATATTATTAAGGACAAACAGTAGGATTTAAGTAATTGCAAGTGAAAATGGACAGAGCAAAATAAATTACAAATTTAAAACAACAGAAAATGAATAGCTAGTTCTAACACATTAAAGCTTCTAGCAAACTTCCCCTAAAGCTGTTCTTATTTCGCTAAACTTCCAGGCCAGGGAAGATCTTTTTTTTTCTGGGGTCTTTGGCTCCTTTTTGGGTGTCTCATGCCAGCCAAAGACAAAGAGCCTGAAAATTTTGCATCCTTTTGGGTGGGAATTCATCAGATTGTGATATTCAATTTCATAGGCGTGCGCAGCACATTTCATTAGGGTGCGCACTCAAAGCATTTTTTTAAAAATGTACTCTTTGACCCTCCCCCCATTAGCCACAGCCCCTGACCCCCATTAGCCACGCCTCTGGGGGTAATACTTTTGGGACAATTTGTACACATGACCAGAAATAAAAGGTGTCATGTGATGACCCCCTTCCCCAAGGACTTTTCCCACCATCCTCTTACCAATAGGGATTAGTTTGGCCCTCACCAAACCCCCCGCCCATGCTGACTGCAACAAGGGAGGTGTAGGTTAAGCCCATTGCTTCTTGTCCTGTCATTAGAGGCCAAGGAAAACAATTTTTCTCTCTACTCCTTGCAACACCCTTTTAGATACTTGAAAACTGTTATCATATGCCCCCCTTAGTCTTTCTAAATTAAACAAGCCCAATTCTTTCAATCTTCCCTCATAGGTCATGTTTTTTAGGCCTTTAATCATTTTTGTTGCTGTTTTCTGGACCTTCTCCAATTTCTCCACATCTTTCTTGAAATGCGGTGCCCGGAACTGAACACAGTACTCCAACTAAGGCCTAATCAGTGCACAGAAAAGCAGAAGAATGACTTCTTGTGTCTTCCACTCCTCCAGTAGCCCCATGCTGATTATGTGAGCTACCCCTCCTCATCCCCTCTTCTAACACCCTGGTGCTGGTCCCTCCCCTGCAGGTGTCTGCCCTTCTGCTTCACCCCCAGAATCCCCTGGCACCTGCACCTTCCCTTAGCCCTGCACCCTCCTGGTGCCTTCCCCTTCCCTCACTGCCACTTCTCCCTTTTTCACTGATGCCCACCCCCTCATGACCCTCTGCCCCTGTTCCCTTCATTCCCCCGTTCCCTCACATATGCCTTGCTCCATCCTTGCCTTCCTCATGCCTACCCCTTCTTTCAAACCTTCTCCCGGCACCTCCCCTTCTCCCCTCTAGCCCCCCAAAGCCCTTCCCCTCTCTTCTCCTAGCATCATCCTGTCCCCCCTCTCACTGACACTTCCCCTCTTGCCCTTTTCCTCATTGTCTCCACTTGGCCCCCTGGCATTTGTCTCTCCTCCACTCTGTCCCTTGATGCCATCTCCTTTCTTCTCTTGACCTGCCCCCCTCCCCTCAGCACAAGCCCTTTCCTCTCTGACCCTTTCCCCCTATTTTTCCCTCCTCCTCCAGCAGCCGCCAGCTGGTCTGTAACAGAGTTCTAGGGTCGCCCTGACTGTGTCAC